ACCATACTTTCTTGAATAATATAGTATTATCAGAAGAATTTTATTTGTTTGTTTTCAATGGGCTTTTATGGCATTGAACACCTTGGGATCATTGAAAGCATTAGGTAAGTTCCAAAAAGGATTAGGTAAGATCCCAAAAATCACCAAGCCCAGTCTCCTCATAATTTTTTCTAGACCTGGCTAAATGCTTATCTATAATATAATGTTATATAATATATATTAATATATTATATATTATAGAGAACATTGTGGTTGTGGTTGTGTTTGCCCTTGGTTCTTCAAGAGGACTATGATATCAAGGAGGCAATGATATGACTTACAATTGACCTTTGATTTGAGTGAGGGAGGGCTGTGCAAAGGCACCAGCCTCAATTTCTGCTCCAGAGTCATCTGGGTCCTACGGCCAGGTATCGATCAGGACGACTGGTGATGGCCTAGGATGCAATGTATCAATAATATATCAATATTAAGATAATATTAAATTAATATATTGAGATAATATATCAACATATTATGTTATATATACTGTGTATTATATCATTTACAATATGGATATTACATATAATAATAATAATCTAAAATACTATAATCTATATGCAATGCTGGACTAACTCCATGGGCTAACCACCCAACTGCATGTCTTGATCTAGGCAGTACGTACTGTTCTCTTTTTTTTTTTCCGTATGGCAAGGCAAGGTCTCTTTAGAGGAAGAGGACTGTTCTGTTCATGGGTGTGTTCAACCATCCGAAGTACTTTCATGTACTCGTTCTCCTTGGTTTGAGCAGGCAGAACAAGGAGCAATGCAAGACATGGCCAAGAGGCCAATTGAGGCTGGAAGGCAGACCAAACTTCCTAGCAAGTAGAACTGTACAAGAGTAGAAGAGGCTGACTCATAAGGTTGTAGTTACTCCCAACTTGGAGATCTTCAAACGTAGGCTGGGTGACTACTTGTCTTGCATGGTCTACCCTACTTAACCCCACCATGGATCTTTCCATTTGCCCTTTGAGACACCTGGCACTCTTCTGAGATTGTGGTTAGCACAATACCTGGCACATAGTAGGTGCTTCATAAAAGTTTATTGATGCTTTAATGGAGATTCTTTTCGAGTATACGTTGGACTAGATGGTTGCTCTTATATTCCATGGTTCTGACTCCTTACATAATAAGCCCAATGTCATTGGCAAAGAGGACCATCTATTCCCACACATGTGCAGGGAATATTTTTTATTTGTGTTTGTATATGGCTCTGATGAGCAGCTTTAGGGAATCTTTCCTTAGTTTATGTCTCCCCCAATGTGGATATTTACAAGACTGTTGAACAAAGAGATCTCCACAGTCACATCTACCATGGAACCTCAGGCTTGAAAGGGACCTCACAGGACCTCTAGTCCAAACTGCACCTAATCAAAATGTCCTTCTGTGATATCTTCCCAAAGGGGCCGTGTAGCCTCCAAGTGAATTATTCTGATGAGCAGAAATCCACTGCCTCCCAAGGCAGTACATTCTACTTTTGGATAACTTTAATGATTAGGGAGTCCTTACACCAAATCAAAATCTGCCACCCAGCCACTCTCACTAATTGTTGCTTCTTCTGTCTTCTTGCACCAAGGAGACAAATGCAATTCCTCTTGTGACAGTCCTTCAAATATTTGATGACAGCTATCATATATTCCCAAAGTCCTCTCTTCTCCAGGAAAAAGATGCCAAGCTGCTTGACCAGTCATGAGCTTGCTTGGCCTCCTCCAGACATTCTCCAGTTTAGCGATGGACTTCCTAAAATTCGGTGTCCAGAATGTTCCATATGTGATCTGACCAGGGTAGAAGATAGCAGGTCTATTACATGCCCGTGTTCAAGTCAATTCCACAAGCGCTTATTAAATACCTACTAGATGCCAGGCAATGAAAAAAAAATCCAGTTCCTGCCATAAGACACTTCTTTTCTACTAAAACGACAGAACACATGAGTAAATACTACATCATTTGAGGAGCACAGATGATAAAGGGACTGAGAAGGGCTTCCCTTGCCAGGTGACACCTGAGTTAAGCCTTGAAAAAGCTAGAGATTCTGAGATGGAGAGGTGAGAAGGCACCGACTTCCAAACATGGAACACCTTCAAAAGGAATGGAGGCCACAGATGAAATGGTGATTTGAAGGAACAAATATGGTCCAGGTGGCTAGAATGTAAAGTATGTGAAAGGGAGAGAACAGTCTAGAAAGGCAGGCTGTGAAGGTCTTAGAGTATAAAATGGAGAAATTTGTATTTTATACTAGCTAGAGGCAACTGGGGACTAGTGAGGTCTCATGAATAGAGGAATGCCATGATCAGGTATGCGCTTTTGGAAAATCATTTTGGCAGTTGTATGAAGGATGGATTACAGAGAGATTAGGAGCTAGAACAATTAAGGGATAATCATAACAACAAATAATCAGCATTTATATAATACGTTAAAGTTTGCAAACATTTCCTCATTTGATCCTCACAGCAACCCTACGAGATAGGTGCTATTAATATCTCCATTTCACAAATGAGGAAACCGAGGCATTGTTTTAATGCCATAAGGGCAAAAGAATCTGAATGCTGGCTAGCTACAGAGAAAGGATAAAACTGAATTATCCAGCTATTGGAATTGTGACCAGTGTGGCCATGGGCCAACAAGCGATTCCACACCGATGTTGTGTCCTAGATCTAGAATCGTGCACATTTGGATAAAAGCCTAGGAAAAACAAAATCTAGACAAAGTCTGAAGAAATCCTATCAGAAGGAAGGATGATATTTCAGAAGGATGTTTATACAAATTCACAAGAACTGGTCTGTGGATTTCAGCCTCAAGTTCCTTTCCTGAGCTACAAGTGATCAGCTGTCTGAGAAAGGAAACACAGACTTGCCAATACTAATTAGAACTATGGACTGACTTTGTATGTGTGTGCATGCATGTAGGTGTGTGTGCGGTGTGCATATATATCCTTCCCTTTTCTCAGAGGGAGGAAGATTATTCACTGGATTAATGAAGAACTAGAATTATGGAATACTTTAAAGAAATACAGTTTATTCTTTTCAGTAACACACAAAAGCAACAGTAACAAAATGTTGAAAGGACATTTTGCTGAGAGTAAGCTTTCAGACTTGGTTTAATGAATATAAAAGAATAATGTAATTGGCATGTAATATTTCTGAGTACAAAGAGTTATTCTAAAATGCGAGTTAAACTATTTGTTCTCTTAACTAAATGAAACATATTGGGTTTTTTAATTGCTTTGATTTAACTAGCAAACTATTTTCTCAGGTCAGACCCTACCAAAGAGAACACTAGTGCCAAATTAAAGGGATCTGTGTTAATAAGGGCTTTCCATATGTAAATGTGGGCACATTGAGCTGTAGGTAATTTTTAAAGATGATGCTAGGGTTGGTGTGATTAGAATCCATCCATGTTTGCTTCCTGGAAATAACGTGATCGTTAAAATGTGTTGCCAAGGAGCAGTGACCAAACAACAAACAAAATAAAGTGTTCCTTCTTGCTTTGCTTTTACAGTGAAAAGGAGGGATTGATTTCGGATATTGACCAAGTCTCACTGAGTCAGGTAAGGCAGTGGCTGTCAACCTCCTCAGATTTCTGTGCTGAGAGAAATGTGATCTTTTGTCCTTCTCTCCCTGTGGTAGCAGGAGGTCCAACATAGTGAATGGCGTTCCCAATCCAAATGGAATGGGAACAGATTATATTTCATTTCATTTGATTTCCTTTGTAGAAGGACCCTTTCTCACACAGTACAAGAATATCTCAAGTACCCTTTCTGAGCCATAAATACAACTGTTTATCAAAAGATCATAAGATCTTAGGGTTTCTTGAGAATACAGAGGGCAAGTCCAATCCCATTATTTCAAAATGAGGTAACTCAGGCCCTAAAAGGTGAAATAATGAGAGACAGACAGACAGATAGAGACAGAGATTGATATCGATATATAGATAGTTACACAAAATACAAACACACACATATACACATATATACATACATTGATATACATATATTTCCACGTATGTATGTGTGTATACAGGCATACATGAATATGTAAAATACAGCTAGGTGGTGCAGGGGATAGAGTACTAGGCTTGGAATCAGGAAGAATTATCTTGCTGAGTTCATATCTGGCCTCAGACACTTACTAGTTGTGTGACGCTAGGCCACTCACTTAACCCTGTTCGCCTCAGTTTCCTCTTCTGTAAAATGAGCTGGAAAGGAAATGCCAAACTACTCTGGTATCTCTGCCAAGAGAACTCCAAATAGCTCACAAAGAGTTAGACATGACTGAAAAATGACTCGACAACAACAGGGGTGGGGGGAGAAGGCCAGCAGGCAGCTACAACCCAACTCATTCTTTTCCAGATGGCTAAAAGTAAGTCTTTCTGACTCAGGGCCTGGCACTCTAACTGCCCCCACCTGAGGTACCAAGGGTTTTAGTGACTGAGGCTGCCCTCAAGATGATTTTGTGAAAACAAACCCTTAGAACTAGACTCTGTTGACAGAGATCACTCTTATCTTACATTAGTTACTCAGCAAGTCCCTCCCAATCATAATGGCAAAAAGCTCCTACTTTCTTTGCCAAACTCAAGAGTCTTTGTAGAGTTTGTGTCTCCTCTTCTAAACTCCTCTCTAACTGTCTTCCCTACCAGCTCCATGCAGTTGACTCCCAGTTATCTACTGGAATGTATACTTTGATGCCTTAGCATAAGCATCTCAACTATCATCACCTATTCTCTCCTCAACCCTTGCAATCTGGATTCTACCCCCCAACACACACTACTCTCCTGAAGCAACTTTAAGATCGCCCCTGACCATTGAATCATTGAATCAAGTGGATTCTTTTCTCTCTTCATCCTCCCTGACCTCTCTGTAGATTTTCACCACTTTTGACCCACCTGCATTATTTTGTTTGTATACTGCCTGAAGAAGGAAATTTATTTCTTTGTTATTATCTAAACTATACTTCTCTTTCCCTACAGGAGTCCTTCTACCCTACCTCCAGCCCACACCACAAAGAGAATTGGACAAAAGTAGAGACTTCTGAGGAGACACGCCATCTTAACTTACAAGACTGTGTGGCAGAATCAGCTGCCCAACAGGAAATAGAAAAGAAGAGACAACTTACCCGGAGGCATCCCATCACCAATGATTACTCGGTGAACGTTGCCAACATTCCAGAAGAAGATAAAGGTAAATACCAATGTCTTTTCCTCCATTTCTGAGTGAATAGTAATAAGAAAATGTGGGTGATATTGAATCCAAATTCAAAAATATAGAAAAAGTATAGAAAGGTTGCCATCTGCCCCCTTGGAGAGAGTATCTTCATCAATGAGATTATAGTCATCAGTATTTTGAATAACATTTCCAGTTGAATCTGTTCCGGGGAATTAAAGGCTCTGTCTAATAAGTTTCTTAAGAATGTGAGCATCTGGAGGATTGTGTGCCCCCAAAGGGCAATACAGCACTCGTAGCTTCTACAACATGAGAGCCTGTATTTGTTTGCCCTTCTCTATCGAGTAGTTGGCCTGAGCCTTATGTGGGTACTTTGCCTAGTAGCCCTGGCCTCCTGAGAATTGTCCCAGTCCTTCCACTTGTACGGCACTGCTCTCTCTTCTCCTCCAACCAGTCTGATCACTTCCTTTCAGTTTCCTTTGCTGGATCATTATTCATGTCCCACCTCCAAATTATAGGTATCCTGCTAAAGCTCTGACACCATCAGTTCCCGTGGACTCAATCACCAGCTCTATTTACATGACTCCTAAATCTATATCTCTAGACCTCCTCTCTCTCCTAAGCTGCAGTCCCACCTTACCAACTGCATCTCTCCACTTGGACCTCCAAAGGTTATCTCAAACTCAACATGTTCAAAACAGAACTCATCTTCCTCCCCCCACTTCACCTAACTCTTTCCCTCCTCCAAAATTCCGATTCCTGTTGATCCTTTCAATCACCTGGTTCACAAACTCTGAGTTATCCTCTACATGACATTCTCCCTCACCCAACCCCATATCCCATTGGTCACCAATGGGTGTCAATTCCACTTCCACATCTCTCACATTCATGCCCTTTTCTCCACTCAGATAGCCATCATTCTAGCTCAGGTTTTTTAACAAATTTTACCTGGACTACAGGAGCCTCCTAACTAGAGTCCTGGTTTCCAGTCTCCCTTTTTCAATCCACCCTCCACACAATTGCCAAAATACTCTTCCCAAAGCACAACTCTTAACAAGTCACTGCCCTACTCAACAGGTTTCACCTACTCCCTATGTCTCTAGGATAAACGAGCTCTTTAACTTGGTTAGCCATTCAAGCTCTTTTAATTCTAGTTCTGGCCTGAATTTTTGCACTTAATGTTCTGTTCTAAGTACTTTACATTCCAGCCAAATTGGCCTCCCTGCTATTTCCTAAATTCAGCCTTCCACCTCCCACTTCCAAACCTTTGTCCTCCAGTCCAAGAATGCACACCCTCCTTATGTCCATCTTAGAATTCTTTCCTTCCTGCAAAGCTCAGGCCATTCTCAGCTGTCATCTATTCAAGGAATGCATTCCTTCCTTATAGCTAACTCTCATGTGCCATGTCCTACGGGAACTCTTTGTTGATTCCCCTAATTTTTAATCAAATGATCCTATATTTGTTTATATCCCCCCAGTAAAAACAAAGCTCCTGAAGGGAAGGGATTTTTTTTCATGTCTGACATCATCATATTCCCATGACTTAGAAAACCCTCTTGCACACGGAAGTGCTTAATAAATATTTGTTGAATTGTAAAAACAAATGACTCTCATCCTGACTGAGGATACTCCATAAAAGGAGGCTGACCTTTACAGCAGCTATGAACTAATTCCCTAGTGGTTAGTGTGCTAGATTCCACCTAAAGCAGCATGATCTATACCTTCTAAATGCTCACATTCTTAAGATACTTATTGGAGTAATTAATAATTTCCCAGAGCAGATTCATTTGGAAACACTATTTCAACATATTGATGACTCCATGAGTGCATCAGTGAGGGTACTCTCCCCAAGGCTGCAGCTTGCAACACATCTATGCCTCATCCTATGTGACTTTTGGCCAAATTGGCTCAGATTCTCCAGTTGAGGGGCCTCCTCTGCATTCAGAAGCACCTTCCTCTATTTCTTGACATTGACAAGTAGCTCTCCATCAATTATCCTTCACTCTCAATACCTGACTGACCCACTTTTGTTTTCTTTCATACATCAAGTGAGCATCACAGCATCATAGCTCTACGGTTGAGAGTGGCCTCAGAGGCCACTCAACTTTTCATTTTATACATGGAGAAACTCAGAACCAGAGAAGGTAGCTGACTCTCTTCAGGTCACTCAGGTGGGAATGAGTAAAATCAGGGTCACGTTCTACCTCTTCTAATTCCAAATCCAGTGTTCTCTCCCAAAGAGCTGGCCTACTGTTTCCTCAGTACATTGCGATACAGTATAGTTGACTTTTACCCATAAAGTGCTTCACAATTTTTCTTTGGGTGACTCACAGTCTTAGAGTCTCAGATGCTGCAGAATTCATGACTTATAGTCATATACCATCATAAGAAGAATACTAATTTTTTTAAATGGGTCTTTCACACACAAACACACAGGCACACACACCATCAGGATGAAGGGTTGAAAAAGCACTGTTCAATTACCCAAAGGCAACCCAACCTGTCCTACTCTTCATCTTTCATTCTGGTCCATTTCCAGTATCTGTTCAATGGATATGTTCTAACGCACAAGCTTACTGGTCTGTCCATCTAATTGCAAATCAGCTTGGATGGTAGATATTAGTCATCTATGGTTTTTCCTGGTTGAGAAACCCAGCCTCTAGGATTGAAAGCTCAGAAAAATTCTTCTGAATGATTGTAGATCTCACTTAGGAATCACTACATAGTACCAGGGCTTGATGCAAACAGAAAAATTTCTATGCTCGACATCATTCAGGAACACCTTGTGTGTTTACTGCCTCACTTGATAGCAACCATCAGAGAGGCATAGAATAAAGCTGTCTGCATTGTGACAATCGTCAATATCACCATTTGCATTTTTAAAAATAGGAAGGGAGGATGGGTTCTTGGTCTTGAACATCATTCGTTTTTCTTGTTGTTGTTGTTGTTGTTGTTTTTTACTAAGGACCACGTCCCAGAGCACCATGGAGAGTAGCATAATAGAATACAGAGAGACTCCTATCTGGCTGTGTGACCTTGGACATGTCACTTACCTTTGAGATGTTTTCCCAAGTCCCTGATCAACTCAGATTAAAGTGAATTTCACAAATGGTCTCATGATGAGCAGATTTGATAACAAAGGGCTTAAGACAAGGCCAATAATACAAAATCAATGGAAAGGTAGAGTTCACAAGGACCAAAATTCTTGTAGCTCTGTCACTGTCCAACTCAAGTCAAGATGCACTTATTAAGGGCCTACTGTGCACCAGGCATTGGGTTAAATGCTGTCCAGCTGGGTGCCTTTGAGAAAGTCACTGAAGCTTGTTTGTAGAATGAGGGGATTGGATTGAATGGTTTCTAAGGTGCTCCCAGTTCTAAAATACTTGGAGTCCATAATGCTACTTGGGGCAAAGTATTGATGATGCTTGTGTTTTCCAGATGTAATCAAATACAAGTTGGCCTCCTTGACCTTTCAAAACAAGGTGGTGTTTGAGTTCCAGTCCTTTATAACCGACCAAAAAGTGTGTGACCTTAAATATCGGAATTTAATTCGACGAGGAAACATCCTGAGAGCTATCGCTATACAAAAGTCAACACCTGAAGGTAAATTACACACCCTACTTGCTTCTTTTTCTCTGCTTTGTCAGACTCTCTCTTTTCAAAGGGAAGACTCTCTGGGTCCTTGGCTTTAGCCACTGCTCATTTTCAAAGATGAATGAAATCACATGGCTGCCCTACAAAATCCCAGGCAGCATCTCATGACAGGGAAGTGAGAGACTAGTGCAAAATAGAGTGCAAGTTTTTGAATGTGGTCCATGTTCTGCTTCACTGGAGTCAGGATCCAATAGATCTCGGTAGGCTAGAGTGTTAGGCTGAACCCCAAAAGATGAAATTCAATGGGGATAAATAGCAAGTCTGAAACTTGGGTCACCCAAGTAGAATATGGGAGAAGCAGAGCTGGACACATGGCTGTTCTGACAAAGGTCTGAGAGCTTTAGCAGATGTTAGGCTTCTTTGGGAGGATAGACAGCCAGTGGGAGGAAGGAAAAAAATAAACAGTTGATCAAGAAAAAAATACCAGGTAAATATAGAAATTCCTATCACACAGTAGATGTCTAAGGATTGCACTCCATAGTGGACATTTCTTAGCGAGGCTATGCATTTAACAAAAAAAAAAGCATAGTCCTTCTCAACATAAAGGAAGAGACTTGGCATAAGCATCATCATCATCTCCTACTTTTCCCCAAAGAATGTTTCCAGTGATACGATAGGGAGACAACTAGGTGGTGCAGTGGACAGAGCACTGGACTTAGAGTCAGGAATATCTGAGTTCACATCCAGCCTCAGCCCCTTACTGGCTATGTGACCTAGGCAAAGTCATTAACTTCTATTTACTCATTTCCTCATCTGTAAAATGGGGACACACTGGAGAAGGAAATGCAAGAAAACCCCAAATGGGGTCATCAAAGTTGGACACAACTGAAAGGACTGAACATAATAATGAGCAAGGTACTATGGGATGAAGAAAACATGGCCCTTCTCTCTGGAAGTTTATGATCTGCTTAGGAGATAGCTCTACATATTTATTTAGACTGGCAGGTCCATGTCCAAGGCTGGACTTGGAATGGAGAAGACCCAATTTCAAGTCTGGGCTCTAAGAAGCTCTGTGACCAAGGAAAGTCACTTAACCTCTTTCTGCCTCAGTTTCTTCATCTGCAAGATTGGATAATAGTAGCATCTACTTTATGCAATTACTGTGAAGATTAAATGAAGTAGTGTATGTAAAATGTTTTGCAAACCTTAAAGCTCTATAGAAATGCTAGCTATTACTTTGTTCAGGCACTTTTCAGTCACATCCCACTGACAGTGACCCCATCTGGGGTCTTGTTGGTAAAGAAAATGAAGGGTTTCACCATTTCTTTCTCTGGCTCATTTTATAGAACAGGAAACTGAGATGAACAGGGTTAAGTGACTTGCCCAGGGTCACACAGCTAAGAAGGGTCTGAGGCAAGGTCTGAATTCATGAGGATGATTCTTCCTGAATCCAGGCACAGCCCTCTATGCATTCTGGCATCACCTAACTGTTTACCCAGCTTTTATTAAATCTGTTATTTTTGTTTTTGAAAATGATTTATTTTTTTCTTGTTCTTTTTTCCCCAGCAACATTTGACATAGGCAGGTATGTAACTCTATCCCCTGCACCAAATAATGGGATCGCTGTGACTTTAAGGCTCTCAAACACACACCTGTATGTGACTGCAATGAAGGAAAATGAACCTATACAGCTACAGGTGAGCAATCCTTGGTGTGACCCTTAGATTTTGTATTCCTGACATGATTCTTAAAAGGACTAAGGAACAGCTAGGGGGTGCAATGGCTAGAGCACTGACCCTGGAGTCAGGAGAACCTGAGTTCAAATCCAGGTTCAGATACTTGCAGGTTGAGTGACCCGGGGAAAAATCACCTGACCCCAATTGCCCCAACAAAAAAAAAAAAGAAGATTGGGGCACTCCTTTATAATCTTCATGCCCTTATACTCATTCTGCCCTCTCTACATTATTAAATTATGAAATCATTGAGGGAGCTCTCCATGAAGCCCCATAATCTCTGTAGACCAAGGTTAGGCAGAACTACGTTTCAGAACTTTTTATTCTGAAAAAGATCCCGGAGTTTCAGAGGGCAATAAGCTCAACATGGGTCAGGAAGGTGACATGGGAGGCAAAAACAAACGAAAAGAAACCATCCCCAGTTCCTTTCACCAATGCTCAGACTCCATGGGCTCAAGCCCCTTTTCCATCCTGGTTGCCTCCTCCACAGCCCTCTCCAGATAACCCAGGTCCTCCTTGAATCTGAGTGCCCAGAGCTGCACACACACAGACCCCCGGAGGAGGACTGGCAGTAGTAGCATCAGGGCTGCTATCTTCTCCTATTCCTGGGAGTGCTATCTCTTCTAAGTTTCTTGGAGCGGCCTCATCGTGCCCTGGCTCATGTGGAGCCTAACATCTGCTAAAGCTCTCAGACCTTTGTCAGAACAGCCATGTGTCCAGCTCTGCTTCTCCCATCTTCTACGTGGGTGACCCAAGTTTCAGACTTGCTATTTATCCCATTGAATTTCATCTTTTGGGGTACAGCCTAACACTCTAGCCTTCCGAGATCTATTGGATCCATTTGATTCTATTTTTACCTATTCCACATCTCTCTCTCCCTCTCCTCTCTCTCTCTCTTTCTCTCTTTCTCTCTCTCTCTCTCTCTCTCTCTCTCTCTCTCTCTCTCTCTCTCTCTCTCTCTCTCTCTCATTCTTTCTCTCTCTCTCTCTCTCTCTCTCTCTCTCCCCTAGTATGGATCACTAAAGAGATGGTTGGTAAATATCTAGAGAGGGAAACAGTAGTTATGAAGAACCATCAGAGCTTTATGAGAAACAGATCAGACCAGACCTTCTTCTTTCCGCTAAAGAAGCAGATTAGAAGGATTTGACCAATAGTACTTAACTGGGTTTTAGCAAAGTTTTTAATAAATGACTTAATTGAATATAAATTGGAGGTTGACTGAATATGGCAGGGTCTAATATGCAGCCCACAGAAGTTTTCTGTATTAAAGAAGAATTCACACAGTCACCTAAGACTTGGCATCAAGTCCAACTTTCAGGTGACTGAGTTACAGCCCTACTCTCAGCAGGTGGAGCTGATGGGCAGAACTTACCCAACTGACTCCTAGAAGAGCTATAATGGCTTCACATTTACTTCCCAGACCCCCAGAAGCTGTGCAAACTACTCTAGTAGCAGGCTTAACTGCTGCACATGGGGTGGAAGGGACTCCATTAACAATATTATCCTCCTGTATTTTCAGCCATTTTTTCAGTCGTATCTGACTCTTCATGACCTTATTTGGGGTTTTCTTTGTAAAGATACTAGAGTAGTTTGCCATTGCTTTCTCCAGTTCATTTTACAGATGAGCAAACTGAGGCAAACAGGGTTAAGTGACTTGCCCAGGGTCACACACTTAGTGTCTGAGGCTGGATTTGAACTCACAAAGATGAGTCTTCCTAACTGCCAGGCCTGACATTCTATCCACTGCACCACCTAGCTTCCCCTACCCTCATATAACCTCACCCCAATTTAGGGAATGATTTTTTAGTAACCTTAAATATTGGGAGATTCACTATTTAAAATGACTAAGTTGCTAGTTCCAATTTCTCCCACATTGTAAACTCCACAAGGGTATTCCACATGTGAGTTTGCACAGTGCCTGGTGCACAGAAGACTCAATAAATATTTGATAAATGAATAAAGCTATGATATACAGGTAAAGTTAAAGACCCCCCAAGCTCATAGCTGACCCTCAACCCAGTCCTCCTTGAAGTAGCCTTTGATCTTTCTACCCACAGACCTGCCCTCCAAAACTATTAAACGTGGCTGCTCCTCTCAAGCCAAGTCAACAGACATTTATTAAGCACTTACTATATGCCAGACAGTGTGCTAAGTGCTAGGAATATAAAGAAAGGTCTAAACAGTTCCTGCCCTCAAGGAGCTTACATTCTAGTAAAGTGACTACGGGAAATGGCATCCAAAAAAAAATTGTACATAGAAGACATGTACATGGCAAATTGGAATGAAGGGCTTAGGATTTAGGAAGGGCAGAAAAGGCCTCTTGCAGAATGTGGGGTTTGAGCTGAGAACTGAAGGGATCCAGGGAAGTCAGGAGGTGGAGCAGTCCAGGGCTGCATGGGAAGAATGACACTGGACAGAAAGAGACAATGCTAGCAGCTGAGTCCTAGACCCCTTCCCTATATATTCAAAGGGTAAGATTTTTTTTTGCTTTTTTTTTTTTGGTGAGGCAATCAAAGTTAAGTGACTTTCCCAAGGTCACACAGCTATAAAGTGTCAAGTGTCTGAGGCCAGATTTGAACTCAGGTCGTCCTGACTCTAAGGCTGGAGCAATATCCACTGGGCCACCCAGCTGCCCCCAGTGGTTAAGGTTTTTAGAGGTATTCTAGTCACCAAGTCCAAAAGAGTGACCAGAAAGCCCTTAGCTCTATGTGGCACCAAAAAAAAACAGTGTGATGCTCCTACCTCCCTCTGCCCTCCCACTGTACCCCCTGATTACCTCTTTCACCAGTCTCCCTTCTTTATAAGAGAACAGGATGAGGGGTAGCTGTCACTGATCATCCGGGCTGTCACCCAATCAATTGCACTAAAATCTGTCATCAAAAATCAACTGATGCTCAGATTCCTCAAGAACCTAGCCAATAGCTCAATGATGTTCAGATTCCTTAAGAATCTGGCCAATATGGCAGATCTTTACTAAACCTTGAAAAACAACAAAAAGAATCAATTGGCCATTATTAATGGGGAGAGGAGAACACTGCCCCTGCTAGGCCAGGCACTGAGGGACTAAGGTGGTTTTCCTCTACCTGCCTCCACCTGTTCACTTAACAAGCCTGCTCTATTCTCTTTTTCCTGAAGGAGATTCCAAAGACACCGACCGAGCTTGATGGTTCTCAGAGTCCCATCCTCTTCTACTGGACGGAGCACTACTCTTACGGCGGCACCTTTGCCTCTGTTGCCAATCCAGAACTGCTTCTGGCTACCCAAAACAAGGACGGTGAGCCAGTGATCATGGCAAAAGGGCTTCCTGCTCTTGTTCACTTCCTAGTGACTGAGGAGTGAAAGCACACACTGTCAGGAAGGAAAGGACCTCTGCAGCTCTCTTGTCATTAGATCGTGTCTTTAAGAGCTGAGAGGGAACCTCAAAGGGCTTCTTGTCTGACTGCTCCATTTTGCAGGTGGGGAAACTGCTTACCCAAGGTTAGTCAGAAAGTAAGTGTCAGAGGCAAGATTTGAACCCACACCCTAACTACAGGGCCACCATACTTTCTGCTGAATCACACTACTGTAGTCTAGCTGTATGATGATGACATGTACTGTGTACTCGATGAAACCAAATCCTTTACTCTCAGTCATGTGCCATGCAGATGGCTTTAGGGTGAGCCCTTGTCATTCTGAATGAATGTTTGTGAACAAGTTATGAGAGTCCGGTGGACCCAGCACTAACTCACGATTATTAGTTTACTATTTTGAGAACACCCTATATTTTGCAAAGTGCTAGTCATTTTAATTAACATTCTTCATTACAGTTTTATGAGGCAGACTACTAACCATATGTAACAGTAAGGTGTTATGGTCTGCAGCACTTATAATTTGCTTCACAGGTTCCAGTCTGTACCCACAAAGACACGTTCACACTTTTCCTAGTTTATAAATGATTTAATTATGGCAATAATCATAAACATACATGCACATAAATGTGATTACATATGATTATACAATCTTAGAAGCAAAGACTATTAACAGGAAGAGAGATACAGAAGAAGAAATACATCACCCATCCAAGGAAGCACCAAGTTCTGAACATCTGGCTGGGGGAGTCCTCTATCACAGCCGTCAGGGTCTCGCTTGGGAAAGTCCCTATGGCAGAGCATCCTCTCTGAGAGAGACTCCCAAAGTCACTTTCCCAAGAAAGACCCTTTTATCATCCTTACACAAAGAAGGCAGGGAGCCAGGGAGTAGGTGATTAATCCTAAGGACCGGAGAGTTTTGGCTGAAACTCTCCAACCTTAAGAACAATCTTAGTTATGTCAAAAATGTCTCGGATCAATACCCAGGAACTGGCCAAGTCCCTGGATGTTTACCTCAACACTTGTTTTTAAGGAATGGTTCCCCAAGGTGGTTCTGGGTTGAAACAAATCCCAGAACAAAACATTAGAGAAGTTCCTTGTCCCTTGGCTTGGGCTGTGGGTAGGGAAGATCTTATACATTAACCTTCAGTTGGCCTCTAGATCTGACCTATCCACGGACTGGAACCAACATCTCCTATGTGGCATGCCATAAGCACCCCCATGCAGAGAAAACTGATACAAGGGCTTCACTTGTAAAAAGAAAAAGCTTGTAACCTCTCTCAAATGAAAGAAGTCAAGCAGTTTAGCACAAACCAGTAAGAACAATTAGTAAGTAAGTACATATAGACACTAGTTCTATTAAATAAAGTAGGCGAGTGAGTACAATTATCACAAGCTATATGTGTAAAATTAGGCAAGAAATTCATAAAATCATCACTATTAAAACATGAATAGATGAAAGGGCCAATTTGGGCCCTCCCTTCTAGAGATATTAAAATGCTCCCACAATATTGACTTTCCTTGTATGTCACATTGTAGAATAGATTTCCTGTGGAAAAGCAGGGAATATGTAATCAGGTCTTTTGATCAGGTGATATTCTTAATGGGGGGGATGCATATCTGAAGGTAGTGTGTGGTTGTGGTATTTGTTCTGCTGTCTTATTCAGTCCATGTCCTATGGGAGGTTTCTTTCTGGATTAAGGGTGTTCCTGGCAAACCCAACAGTCTCGTGGTCCAGTGGTTGCCACTGTTTCTCCCAGTTGCATCACTGTATTCTTCTGCCATTGGGCCATTGCGCTTCCAATATGTATAAGATAAACTGTAAGATACTGTTCACGTAAAAACAATTGTGTTAGAGAATAATGGTGCCATTTGTCATCTCCAGCAAATGCCGCTACCACAGTACCACCCTGCCTTCTGCCACTGTCTCAGCAGCTCGAGGCATATCAGAGGCATGTGTTTTAACCCGTACTTTGGATCCTACTCTTAAATCAGTACTTCCGAATCCTCCATACTGGTTGTGATTGAAGGTGGTTCTGCTACATGTTCCCATTGGTCCTTGAAATAGATGGAAATTACTAATTGTGCCATTCTAAACCCCACAGAGCAAACCACTGGTCCTGGGCTAAGGTTTTGCATTATCACTTTTATTTCTCCTACATAATCTGAATCTATTACTCCCCCTACGTTATGTATCCCCTTAACAGCTAAGATTGACCGAGGAAGTATATGCCCAAAATGTTTAGGTGGGATTTTTACTCCTATTCCTGTGGAAACAACTACAGGATTTAAAGTATGTAAATCATAACCAGCAGATCCAGCTGTTCCTAAGAAAGGGGATGTGGCATGTGGATCACAACCCACCATTGTACTGTTAGATTTTTCAGCCTCTGTATCCTTATTTGAATGTTAAGGGTCATCATTGGTCCTAAAGGGGTTAATCCCTCTTTTAGGGGCCGATTGTTTAGCTGTTGCAAAGCTTCAAATAAATTATCTTTCCAATGTGCATGAGAATTGTTGCCAAGTTGTCTAAGTTTCTCTTTTAATAACCTACTCATCTTTTCAATTAATCCCGCTGCTTGGGGATAATAAGATATATGGTAAATCCATTCTATACTATGATATGAGTAATAGTGGTCTATTTCTTTTCCCTTAAAATGTGCTCCATTGTCACTTTGTATTTGTAGAGGGGATCCATAATATAAAGTAATGATATCTATAGTCCTACAAGTATTTTTCTGAGTGGCATACTTATATGGGCATGCCACCAATACTCCAGAATAAGTATAATAAGTACAAATATACCGGCAACCTCTGTCCATTGCTAAGGGACCAATATAATCAGTTTGCCAAATTTGGGCAGGCAGCCTTCCTCAGGCTAGTTTACAGTTAAGGGTGTGGGGAATTGGTCATTCCTTTTCCATTTGGCGTATGGAACACTCAGATTGTATCTGCCTTAATAGAGATATTGGGAGGGAAATTCCCCTGTCCAATGCCCACTGGGTAAGGCTTAGACTCCGAGGTGTCCTGCTTGTCGATGTGCCCATTGTGCTAATGAATAATATTCTTCATCTTCTTGCTGTATTGTTGCTGTTTTGACTAGATGATCCACATGTGCATTATACTCATGTTCCAGGGTGTTCAGTGAAGTATGTGCATCTACAGGAAAAGCTGAAATGTTAGTATTATGAGACCAATCCCATATATTCTGCCACAGGTCTTTCCCCTGTATATCTTGCCCATGAATTGGCCAACTATTTTCATTCCATATGGGCATCCAAATAGTTAATCTATTAGCCACAGCCCAGGAATCTATAAATACATGGCATTCTTTCCCTTGTTCATTCTTTATTGCTGAATGCACAGCTAACTGGCTACTTCCCCCCAACCTGTGTTTTCCAAAGTAATTCCCGTAGTGGAATTATATGCCACCACTTTCCAATGTCTTACTTGTCCCTTATATTTAGCCAATCCATCAGTGAACCATGCCTGCCTTTTTCCTTCAGGATTTAACCTGTCATATCCCTGTCCCCATTCTACCAGTAAATTCTGGGTGGCTTTCGCTGGTGGTATCTCATTTTGTGCCATTCCCAATTCCAAAACTTTTTCATGTAATATAGAAATTCCTGCCTTCCCAGTCTTTGCTCTATTCTGAATATACCATTTCCACTTAATACTAGTCTCTTGGGCATGCCCTATTTTATGAGAGGCAGGAGTGTTCATTATCCAATGCATTACAGGAATTTGGGTCATAAGACCACTTCATGACCAATTGTCAATTGTTCTGTCTCTACCAATGCCCAATATGGAGCTAAAAGTTGTTGTTCAAAAGGGGAATAATTTTCCCCAGCAGAGGGCAGTTTTCTCAGCCAAAATCCTAAGGGAACATTCCTGCCCTGTCGTTTTTGACATAGGCTCCAATCAGCATACCCCTCTTGGACGGATACTTGTAATTCTACAGGGCCGTTTTCCGTAGGCCATAAATCTAACGCAGTTTGGATTGCAACTTTGGCTTCTTCTTCAAACGCCTTTTCCTCCTCCTTGCCCCAATTGAAGTCATTATCTCTTCCTAGTCACCTTATAAAGCGGGCTCAGCATTTGTCCTAAATGGGGAATATATGTTCTCCAATATCCAAAAAGTCCTATGAATTTCTGGGCCTCAGTTTTATTAGTAGGAGGAAGAAAATCTATTATCTTTTGTTTAGCCTCAGGAAGTATTTCTCTGTGCCCCCTATTCCAGTAAATCCCTAAGAATTTTACTGCCTATGCAGATCCCTAAATTTTGTTTGGGTTAATTGCCCATCCTTTGCTTTTCATATGTTCCAACAAAATATGCAAATTTTCCTCCACCGTTTAACAATCTTCACCTTGTATTAAAATGCATCGATATAATAAGTTATCTGCACTCCTTTCATTTTCAACTCATCTAGATGTTCTGCCGCTTTCAGACAACAAATAGTGGGGCTATGTAAACATCCCTGTGGTAGGCTGGTAAATGTATACTGTCTCCCTTGCCAGGTAAAAGCAAACTGATCCCACTGGGCTGGATCTATTGGTATAGTAAAGAAGGCATTAGCCAGGTCTGTCACCGAATACCAATGTCCTGAATATTTTTGGACACACTCAAAGTAATGGTGTCAGGTACTGCCACAAACAAAGGAGGAGTAGCTTTATTCAATTGCCTATAATCACCAGTCATTCTCCTTGTCCCATCGGACTTCTTCACTGGCCGTACAGGGTTATTCCATTCAGTAGTAGTAGGGATCAGTACTCCTACACCAACATATTCCTTAATAGTAGCAGTGATTTCATCCTGCCCTCCCCATATACGGTACTGCTTTAGAGTGATGGTCTTAGTGGGTGGCGGTAAAGACACAGGGGGCATTTTAAGTTTTCCTACTAGCGCTCTCCTTATGGTTAGGGCCCT